CTCCCCGCCTTTCTCTACAATCAACTTCTCTTCCTTTGCGAGAGGCTGACCCTCTATCATGAGATTCCGAATCTACAAGAGGAAGGTGGTGATACTGACTCTGGTGGTTGTCGTCTGTGGCCTAGCTTTCTGGAGCAGCGGAAGGCAGAAGAAGAACGACGGCGGCTCGTTCCCCAAGGAGGTGGAGACGCCGAGGAGGAGCAGCAGCAGCAGCATCAGCAGCAGCAGCAGCAGTAGCATCAACAGTCATATCCAGGTACCGGCCACACCTGCAGTCAGCCGGGCGCCGGTCCCACCGCCTGTCGTACAAGCGAATGACACGCACCAGGAGAAAGCAAAGGACAAAGCCAAAATAGCCAAGCCAGAGGTAGATAACACCACTTTGGTGTACCGCGGCATCGTCTTCCAGCTGAACTTTGACCAGACGATAAGAAATGAAGAGAAGTTTAAGGCGGCGCGGCAGAAGGACGATCTGGTCGTGGTGGTTCAGGTCCACAACCGACCAGACTACCTGAAGCTGTTAGTGGACAGTTTGCGGAAGGCCAGAGGTGTGGAGAGCATACTGCTGATATTCAGCCATGATTACTGGTCCCCCGAGATTAATAAAGTGGTGGCCTCTATTGACTTCTGTCAAGTCCTGCAGATTTTCTTCCCCTTCAGCATCCAGCTGTACCCCCAGGAGTTCCCCGGAAACGACCCCAGGGACTGCCCCAGAGACATTCCCAAAAAAGATGCCTTAAAGCTGGGATGCCTCAACGCAGAGTACCCCGACTCCTTCGGCCACTACCGCGAGGCCAAGTTCTCCCAGACCAAGCACCACTGGTGGTGGAAGCTGCACTTTGTGTGGGACAGGGTCCGAGTTCTCAAAGAACACAAGGGTCTGGTTCTGCTGATCGAGGAGGACCACTACATGTCCCCGGACTTCATCCACCTCCTGAAGCTGATGACGGCTCTGAAGAGGGAGCAGTGCACCGACTGCGACATCCTCTCGCTGGGGAGCTACAGCCACATCGGCTACTCCAGCAAAGCCAACAAGGTGGAGGTGAAAGCCTGGAAGTCCACCGAGCACAACATGGGGATGGCCCTGAGCCGGGAGACGTACCAGAAACTCATCCAATGCACTGACACGTTCTGCACTTACGACGACTACAACTGGGACTGGTCCTTGCAGCACCTGACCGTGTCCTGCCTGCCCTCCTACTGGAAGGTCATGGTGAGCGAGGCGCCGCGGGTTTTCCACGCTGGAGACTGCGGCATGCACCACAAGAAGGCTTCCTGCATGCCCATCAGCCAGAAAACCAAGATCGAAAACATCCTACAGAGCAGCGGGAACCAGCTGTTCCCCAAAAACCTCCTGATAGCAAAGAGACTGCCAGCCAACGGGGCCGGAGGCGTCGCCCCGCACGTCAAAAACGGAGGCTGGGGCGATATCAGGGACCACGAACTCTGCAAGAGTTATGTTCGATTACAGTGACCTTAATTGCTACTATTATATATTATTGTCTCTTTTGCATCCTATATAAAGAAAAAGTAAATCTTTATGGACTATTCTTCATATTGCCTGTTTTATTGGATTGTTCCAAATAAAGACGAATGTTGGATTTTTGGCTTCTTTAACACAAGTATGTCTTTACATTGAATTATTTATCCTGACAAGTTTGCATTGTTTTGTATGGACTAAATGATAATAATATATTGTTGTGTTTTCTATAACAAAGGCTTTCGGATTAAAACATGTCTCAGAGTTATTAAAAATTAAGAACATCTCTGCAGAAATAAACTGGGAGGCGCTCGTCGGGGCGGCCGCACGTCTGGAGAGTGTGTGGACTTTGCATTCCCTCTGCGCGCACACATAATTAATTCCAAGGTATTAATATCACACAGATTTGCTGAGATCAAAGTAGATCCGTCGAGACACCTTGTTCCAGTTAAGTGATCTCCCGCTTTGGCTTCAACAGGTTTGTGGAGCGCATCAGAAATCGCATTACTGCAGCAGAAAGAATAAAGTAACACGATACGGTGCTGCTTCTTTTTTCTCCTCGCTGAGCCACTGCAACTAGATAAAACTGCAGGGTGCTGTTTTGTTTTGTTGCAATGCATCACTGTCCGGCTTAAGGGTGGAATATGGAAAGCCGAGGCTGCTGTGTCTGTGCAGCGATTTCCACATAAATAAATACGATGCACCTGGACGGATCCCAAGGCGCTGGTGCTACTTTGTGTTGTTGCTACTGAAGATGCATTTACATTTTAAGTGCTTGGACCGCAGCTCGGTATCGATGGTTTCCGCTGAGGCTCGAAGCTCGGTGGCTTCTCTGAGGCTGCATCGATTCCCTCCCCTCCTCCCCCCGCCGCCGCCTCCTGTTCCCTTCCTCCCCCTCAGCTGCCGGCAACAATCAGTTCTGCACACTGTTCAAAATGTGGAATAAGTTATCGCTGACTGGACTCTGCGTACAGTTCATATTGAATTCATTCTCTGCTGGTGGCCTCTCAGAGATGCAGGCTCTCAAAATAACATCTTAACACCGCCCGAAGTGAGCAGATCAGACAGACTGTGGCAGAAAGAAGCCCCGGTTCGTTACCTACGTGTGAACTTTTAATTCCTAACGCGGTGTGAAGACATTCTGCTGCCGAGGGTCACGTGACTGGGAAGCGGTGCAGCTGCTCCCCCGGCGGAGGCCCAATAATTGGGCCCGCACCTCCAGGGAGACGTGGCTCAGAATAGAGTTGAGAATAGAAGAAGTGGCACTTTGCTCCCGATTCGTGGTGACTAATGGTTAACTTGCGCTTTAGAGGCTGTAATGTGCCGTCGCCTCCTTTTGAAAGCCTCCGAGCAGCCGCGGAGCGATTCGCCTCCTCTGAATGAAAGTGTTGTAAAAGCAGAGAGCGTGGCCATTTTTCTAAACACTCCACTGTGGGATAAATAACCTGCTGGTGAGTTCAGTTAAAATACAGTCTTCCAAGAGTATAAATTGAGGATCTTGAGCTTTTCAATGATGGTTGGATTAAATAATTATATACTCAAAAGCGAGCAGCGTCAGTGTGAAGCACTTAAAAGCTCCTAACTGGACCGAAAAGTGTGATTCAGTGCCAGAAAGTACAATTTGAAGATACTTATATTTATACTTCTGCTCCACTACGTTTATCTGGCTGCTTTTAAAGATGACAACTTTACACAAAAGATGATAAAACAAGCTTTTATCATGCAACATGGTTACAGATTAAACCTTCCAACCTTTCTGGTTTCTTCCAAAAAAGCTGGATTTTAAGCATTAACTTTGCTATTATTCATATTAATAATCGAACAAAAGCACATATTATAATAAATCTATCTGATGAACTTTTACTGCAACACTTAAAACTACATTTTGCAGCCGTGCACGTTTATTTAAGCAGGATTTTTCATGCAGTATTTCCACATTAACATGTTGGTGCTTTTACCTAAGAATATGAACGCTTCTTCCACCGGAGGTCAACTTGAATTTCTTGCACCGACTCACATCACTCGACTGAAACCGGACAACAGAAACGACTGCTACGCTGCAGAAATCCTCCAAACACACCAATGCAAAGCGTATTTTACACCATGCAGCTATAAAGCAGCAACAATTTGCACAAAATCAGTTTAATTAAGAAAGAAAATGTCTTTTCATGTGGCTTCTTTACCAGCAAATGTCTTTCTGTATGCAACATTTAGCTCCTGCAGCCAGTGGGAGTAAATATAATGAGCAAAATCACAAGTTCTGTGTTTGTTCATGGAGGGTTTTGGAGTATTTATACATCGTTGTGTTGGTACTTTTACTTCTTTCACTACTGTGCTGAATTATGTGCGACTTAAAAATGCAAGGTGGCCATAAACATGATTCCAAGTGTTGATCTGAGTGAGTCTTTCTTCACACTCTCGCACACTTTCCTCGTGTTTTGTCCTATTTTTAAACATCCCAGCCGGTTTGTGCACATTTCATTTAAATTAAAGAGGTGCTGCCAGTTGTGGCCAAATATAAACACAGAAAGGAGCTTGTACTCCAGTGTTCCCTTTAATTTATCGTCCTTTCTCTTTCCAACACGACTCATCCCTCATTTCTCACACGCGGGTTAAACAAACATCCCCGTGCAACGTTTAAAACGAGCGAGATTAATGCGATCAATTCCAGAAACCGACAGGAGCTGTCTGCTCGCAGCAGATACGAGTGTCACTTTTATTTTATTTTTTTTTGCAAACTCCATTGTGTACACTCACATTTTCTGCCCATTATCTCAAACTGCGAAGGCTCCGCCGCACACTGGAAGCTGCTCGCAGCCCTGAGAGGCCGTATTAATCATTCATAGCCGCTGCACACATTGCTAGGTAAACAAAAAAAAAACTCTGGGTCAATATATGGAGAGGCGTGCAGACGAGGGAATTGCATCACTGTGAGGAGATGATTAAAGCGCGGCCTTACAGTGGGATTCTCTCCCAATTCTATTGAATTCCCATCAAGTGGGACCTATTTCCCTGAAGATGCAAGATAGATGGAGCCGTTTGCCAAGCTCAGTGTTTTGATTCAAATGGCCAGTGAGATTACAGAGAGGCTGGGTGAATGAATGTGGTAGTTTGAAGACAGAAAACCCCCCTCAGGAGCACGTGTTTTATCCTCGGGATGATGTTTTCTTTTATTTAAAACACCTAACTAAGCACAAATCCTGATTGAGAGGCCCCGGGGGAGCTGAGGCAGTCAGTCAGAGCTGCTTACTGACACCCTGACAGGATGATCGGGCCAATCCGGCCTTCTGAGTCCACTTCCTCCGATCACACCAGTGCTGCTCGGTTTAATGGCCGTGAGTGCTTGTGTTTCTTCTAAAAGTGACTCATAAATTATGGAGGGGCAGTTTTATTCCACTCTCAGATGATAAAATATATATGAAGTCGTAGGAAGGCATTTGTGAACACGAGACAGAAAGACAACGGGACGGACAGACGGACGGCGATCACAGGCGTTACATCAATTGATTAATGATTTTTAAAAGGAAGCTGTGAGCAACACTGCCACCTGCTGGGCGGCTGTCACACCAACGTGCTGCACAAAATACATTCAAGGGGTAAAGAGCAGCAAAAAAAACCCCCAAAAGCTGAAATCTATGAGTCTGGGGGTGTTGTGCACGCTGGCTCACTCACTAGGAAACTAAAATGAAGCAAAGCCAAGTTAATTTTGTGCTTTTTTCTGCCTTGATAAGTCTGAATAACCGTCTGCTGCTGTGAGAAAAAGGCCAACGAGGTTAATGTCAGAAATGATGAAATTATTCTGCCGCTGCGCTGGGAACGCAGCCACAGTGGGTAAACAGCTTTAATTAAAAAGTGCAGATAAATGCAAAGTGAGACAGAATGTTGTCATTTTTATTGGCTTTGTGCGCCCATGATGGACGCCCACTGGTGGGTGGAAAACACTGGACCCACGTGAACCTTTGAGATGCTTGTACATTACTTTCCGTTTTCTGCTGCTTTATCCTTCAGCTCCACTGTGTTTACCTGGCAGCTTTTTAAGATGCACATTTGACACAGTAAATAATAAAAGAAGATTTAAACACAGAGTTACAGATGGAACCTTCTGACCTTTTTGGCTTCTTCCACAAAAGCATGTTTCAGATGACTTGTTTATGGCTCCACCAAGTTAAACTTCTATTTCATTTAAATCAGGGATCTCCAGCTCCGGTCCTCCTGAGCTCCTGTCCTGCAGGTTTCAGACGTTTCCATACTGTAACACATCTGACTCACATTGATGGATCTCCAACAGCTTGTTGTCAAGTTCTACACAAGTCTGTTAATCACCCATTAATCTGAGTCAGGTGTGTTGCAGTACGGAAACGTCTAAAACCTGCAGGACAGGAGCTCACGAGGACCGGAGCTGGAGATCCCTGATTTAAATAAATGTTCTGATGATTCAAAATCCCAGCAAAAAAATCAAAGATTAGAGAAATGTCTTGTCAGGTGAAGCATATTAATGACTCACTGTCAGTGAAAGCTGTTCTGTTTATTCTGTCTTACAGCATCCTTCAGGGGGAGGTTTTTTTATACATCCATCCATCATCTCTACACCGCTTAATCCTCACATGGGGGGCTGGAGTCTATCCCAGCTGACTCAGCGTGAAGGCAGGTTCACCTGGACAGGTAACCAGTCTATCACAGGGCTACACTTAGAGACAGACAACCAAGCACACTCACATTCACACCTACGGACAATTTAGAATCACCAATTAACCTCAACATGTTTTTGGACTGTGTGGGAGGAAGCCGGAGAACCCGGAAAGAACCCACGCTGCACGGGGAGAACATGGAGACTCCACGCAGAAAGATCCCGGGTGTCCTCATTGGGATGTGAACAAGCTGCGAGGGAATGGTTCTAACCATCGATCCACCCTGAGTCAGCTGGGATAGACTGCAGCCCCCCACGACCCTAGTGAGGATTAAGGTGTAGAGACGGTGGATGGAGGTTCGTTTTAACTTGCTGTGACTCGTTTCACCATCAGATGTAGAAAGATGTTCCACCATCAGCTGAATGTATCTCCATCAACCGGCTCCTCTGTTCTCTGGTTCTGATCCATGCTGCATTTATTTATTGATCCAGGAGGTAAATATCTGTGGTATGTTGAGCCTCCATGTTTTCCAGTGTTGGTGACATCTGTGGACATTGTGAAATATAGAAACTAATTTAGTTTAATTTAATTAATGTGTATTGCAGTGACAAATGAGCCCCAGTGAAGAACAATGAGACGGAGGGTGAAATATTTCACACCTGCTTTATTTTGACAGTTGTGTTGTGAAGGTCAGCTGCCGGAACCCGGATGGTCGAACCCGGATGTCAGCCAGTTAGCATGCTAGCTGGTGTTCTGTCTGCGGACTGAGGCGATTTGTTCACAGATTCTGGCTGAAGTTTGATTTGGAGGCAGATAAAGAGGTAGATGAGGACTTTAAACAGTCACTTCAGACGCACACATTAGCCGTTAGCTGCTAATCCTCCTTCAAACTGCGTCTTTCGGTGTAACGTTACACAGTTAGCCCGCTAGCTAGCCGAGCTAACAACTTTTCATTCATTAGTTGTTGTCTTTGTTGCTAACGGCACCTTCACAACGACATTTGTGAGCACAACGGCGGGCTGTTGTCTGGTTTTAGTCTTTTGTTTGTGCTGAATTCTCACCATAACAACGGTATAGTGGGGCCAAGTTAGTTTGTGAGCAGCTGACAGCCGGTTTGTGATGCTAACAACATTAGCTGGCATCCTCAGCTAGCATCATTTCCCTAAACAGCCTCAGCAGCTGCTCGTGATGCAGCGCAGATCTGGTCGTAGCGATGCTTCAGAGCACCATAGAGTAGACAATAGGTGTATTTACTCAGTGTTGTCTTGGTTGGAAACAGCAGCAGAGATCAGCTAAGCAGTGTCTATCACAGGTGGAGATGCTAACATGCTACTTTGCCATAGCAATAAATCATGTCCGTGTTTTGCAGATGTTTGTGTGAGTCGAGCTTTGAGCCACAGTTCAGAGTCTGAAGAGGAACCGCTGAGCTGAAGAGTCAGATGATCTGCTGCTGCAACTGAGGTGACGCTTAACGTGTTCATTCTTAGTTTAGTTTAAATTTCAGTTGGACAGACTTGATGCATTTGAACTCCTCTGGACTCCAAGCAGCACTTTCTGGGTGTTTTTTTTGTTCCTGTCACGTTTGTTTCAAAGTCCTGCACCTTACAGGAAGTCAGAACTGTTTCCTCTACAGTACGATCCAGTTGGAGCGACAGAAATCCTACTTCAAAGTTAGATTTCTTTGATTTCTTACTGATGAGCTGCTGCTGACTCTGGTCCCTCGTTGGGCTTTTAGGAGCAGAGCTCAATTAAACTACACAGTATTACTGTCATGAGAGACGTGGTGTAGCGTAGACATGCACACAGACAGCAGCAGCCAGGGCTGTTTGATCTCACATATATACTGTAATATTAAATAATACAGGAACTTTCAGCCCATGACTTGAATAATTTAGGTTATATTGGACTAGATGGGATGGTTTTGTAGGGAAGTGCATCTGCAGAGAGAATATATTTGAACAGAAAATTTTAAAAAACGTTGTTATTTGGTGCAATGCTGGTAAAGGCACTTGAAATAGTTTCTGTATAAATAAACTGGCAGTTTTAACAACACTACTGAAGCCTGTGTGTTTGTGTCCACCAGTGAAAGGACGGTGACGATGGTGATGAAGCTGTGAGACAAAGCTCCCCGCTCCTCCTGCACACTTCCTCATGGATTCCAGCAATGACGAGGCGCTCGACATCATCGTCACCAACGTGGTGGCGACGTTCAGGACCAGGTGCCACCTCAACCTGCGAACCATCGCCCTGGAGGGAACCAACGTCATCTACAAGCCCGAAGTCGGGGTGAGAACACCAGTTTGTTAACGAGGGAGAGGCTTCACTCCTCTGTTATTTATTTTACTGTGTTAACCCTCTGAACCCTGAGAAGCTTCCTGTTCCTTCACTGAGGTTCATGTTCCTCTGCATCATATAGTCCTGCAGCTCTGAGGAACCAGAACATGAAGGAGGAGAGAAAACTCAGAGATGTCTTCTGTGATTATTTATTTGACAAAAGTTAAATATATAAAACCTGGAATCAGCACATCCAGCATTATCTGTTATCACAGAACCAGAACCAGTGGAGGCTCCACGCGCTGCAGATGTTCACCTCTGGGACGGTTTTGTCTCTTTTCCTTCATATTGTGTTGTTTTTCTTATGTTGTGTCTCATTTTTTGTGTCATTTCACGTCTCTTAGTGGGATCTTTGTCATTTTGTCACTTGCTTTTATCGTTATTTTGTGTCTGGTTTTGCTCATGTTAGTTGTCTCTGGGACAGATTTTTCTCATTGTGCCTGATTTCTGTTTTGTTTGTGTCGTTGTGTGACAGCTTGGGCTCATTGTTGTCGTTTTGCTGATATTTATTTACCCGTTTACAGCTGTACAGTATATATTTGTCATTGGACTGTTGGTCACAGGAGCTCAGAAACTTTAGTGTTTTATAGAATCTGGTTTGTTTTTGATGAATTTTTAAATTAGTATGTCACAGATGATGAGTTGAGGAGTCATTTGAAAGTTGACAGTCCAAAGATTCGTTCTGTTTTTGCGGTTTCCGTCTCATGAATAGTGACATTTTGAGAATATCCTTTAAAGACACCGTTGCGTTCAAAGCCTCCAGTGCATTTTCAGGTTCAGAGGGTTAAAGGTTTGTTTGTTTGGGTCACTGGCATTTAAACCGTCGTGTGTTTTTAGAAAGTCTTGATGAAGCTTCGCAAACCGAAGATCACGGCCTCGATCTGGTCCTCAGGGAAGATCATCTGCACCGGAGCTACGAGGTGAGCAGGCCACACAAACACCAACACTGTTCATCATCTGAGGAGACACAAGCCAAACATTTAGTCCTCTCAACGCTTCTCCTCGACCTCAAGTTGGAGGAAGGTTGTGATGGAGAATCTATGAGGAGATGCCCTAACCCTAACCCTGGGCAGGCTGGAGGATGTAGTTGTGTGTCTGCTGTGGATTTAAACGTCTTCACTGGTGCAGCTTTAATAAACTGCTAACCAGTTTATTTTATATATGGAATCACTGAAACGCTTTTACAGCATTTAGAGAATTCAAGAAGCTTTTATCATCACAATCTAAACCTTTTAAAGATCCCCTGCACCCAGACAAACAGGAACGCCGGCTGCTTCTGACCTCAGTAGTTTCGTTTTTTTTGTTATCGGCGTCTGGAGTTTAGAGTTTAGGGAACTTAGAGTCGACTGCAGAAGTTTGATCCTGAAGATGTTTGATTCAGATGCTGCTCATCGGTTCTCGTGTTAATTAATAAGCAGTCCAGAAATATCTGCTGTATGTTCTGATATCTGTCATTCAGCTGTGTTTGTGTTAATAATCCTGATTCCTGCTTTATTCTCAGTTAACCTGCTCAGCCTCTTAAAACCGTGTGATTGTCTCATTTATTAATTATGCTGTAAAACTCTGAACTGAACGTCCTCACAGTAAAGTAGGTGAATAAACACACAATCTGAGTAATAAAGTCCAGCTGAGACCCACCCAGAGTCCTGCCGGCTTCAGTAATGATCAGCAGCTTTGTCGGCGCCACTAGTTTCCTCTGACGGACCTCCACGTATCGTCACAGCTTTAGCTTTAGCCGCTCAACATGTTGTAAATGTGAAGCGGGAATGTGTCGCTGAAACTCACTCTGCTCTTCCTGTGTCGCTCAGTGAGGACGAGGCCAAGCTGGGCGCTCGCAGGTTGGCTCGCTGTCTGCAGAAACTGGGCTTCAAGGTGAGAA